GTATTGCACTGCAGGTTCAATGGAAAGCAGCCTTCAGAATTGCCCGCAATAAGTTTTTCTTCTCCTAGGATGTAGGGAAGTGAAGGCTAGTTCCAAAGCACTTGCTTGCTGCAGGAGATTGAAGTCCATCTGAGCTACTGAGAGAATCCAAGAGTTGCATGGCCAGCAGCATTATGCTTTGTCAGGGTAGGAGCAGTCGTCATGTCTCTGGATATGCTAACGATAGGTGGTTCAGTTTAGCAAACTAGGCAGTAGCAGAATTGATGGGGCTGCATTTCTAGAGCTGTTTTGTGGACTTGGTTTTGGCTTTTAAGCGGTTAATGTAACTGAGGGAGAGGGAAGCAAAACAGCTAGAATGGGTCCTGGTGCTAGGGTGTTTGGATTCAGATGCGACTTCTCAGAAGTCAGACCATCGGTGACACACACCTGCATGGCCAGCGGAGCCTCTTGAGCCCTTGTGATGGACAGCTGGGGGGGAAAGGCCATGACTCTACCACAATTGCTTCCTTCCGGCTGCTCAGCATGGCCAGTTGCTGGCTAGTCAGCATCCAAGGGAAGAATTTGGCCCTTAGTGTAAACTGACTGATAATGCGCAATGACTTGCTCCTAGATCAAAGGCCTCAGTAATCAGTATTTTTCTGCTATCCGATCTGATACTTTTGCATCTATGTAGAATGCAACAACAAAAAATGTGGAGCTTCTTCAACTGTGAGAATTGTTAGTTGGCAGGAAAGTGTGAAATACTGCTTCAGGATCTATAGGTGAGTACTGTAGACTCACCTATAGAGTCTATTGATGAGTGCTTAGAACAGTTCCCCTTTCAGAGGCTTCAGCTTGTCAGCTCAGTAGATTGCCAGGAGGTACAAGCTACATTTAAAAAATATATATATGACAGCACAGGGGATTGTTAGCCAGGAGATCTGGAATTAAAAATGTTGGAAAATAAAGAAGAAGAAAAAAAGATCTGTTTCTTTGTGCAAACATTTTGGAATGAAATGTTCCATGTGAGGTGCCTGTAATTAGCCATTCATATTTTGGTACTTAAATTAGTGGCCTAATGAAAAAGACACAGCGTATTGATTTCAAGGATAACTCTATATGCACTCTGCTCTTCTTAATTAAAAGGCTTGGTTTTTATTATTATTCTTTCTTATTTTACTCCTGGATTGCATTGTCAAATGGAGCTTTTATCAAAAGATCATCAATCTAGCACGTTGCATTTCAATTTATGTCAGCAGCATTGCTTATTTCCATTTGCTAAACTCCACTGGATGTTTTATTGACCTGAAATTTGACTCCTACTTTCTAAATATCATGTGTTGTGCATTGGGCAAGCTTATTTTCACCTCTCCCTTTTCATTAAAGACAACAAGATTTCGAGTCTGAAATAATAATGTATTGGAATGTAATTCCCTGTGATGCCCTGTTGCCACAAACCACAGTTCCTGGCAGCCTGCAATTAGCACTAAGAGCATCCATTTGGCTTAAACAGTTCTCCTTTCAGCCATACATAAATACCACATGTCTCTGTTGAGGGGCTGCGGTAAGCCTGGTCAGGACGTTCTGCTGGCGTAGAATTTGGCTTTGATTTCTTTCTGTGGTGCTTTATCAGGGATTTTCTGTCTAAGGTTTAGGTTAGCCATTAAGGAAACAGATCCTAACAGAACAGGCACCAGGTCAGTCCATCCTCTGGTCTGTATACAGTAGGGATCTTCCACCTGGGGATCGCACCTTTTTATGCAAGTGTTGGCTGATGCCAATTGCAAGAGTGATCTGAGGAAACCCAAGGAGTTCCTCTTCCATTGCATCCCTGTTCTGTGACCCAACAGAGATGATGGCTAGGAACAGAAGCTACACTTATACTGACCTGGTGTGAGTGATCAAAAAACAGTTCAAATCTGTAACACAACAGAAGTTCAGTGCATATAAACCACTTACAAAATGGCTGAAACAGGTTTAAAATAAACCTGGATGGATGTAGCATCAGACTTAACTTACTTAAGTCGGTTTATTGAACTTCTGTCCCAGCTCCCCTCCTGACTCACGTTAGCTTATGGTCCCCCAGCATAAGGATGCTTTGCAACACCCTGCCCTGCACGGTGGGTGCATTAGGCTTGGCCCAAGCTGTTTGCTCCAGCTACGCAAGGAGGTATGCTCTAGCACTCCCAGTGTCTGGCCTTGGCCACTGCAGGCATGTGGCTGCATTTCCAGAGTCAAAGGTGAATGTCTGTTCACTTGCTTGTCAGTTCAGTCTACACAGCTTAGACTAACCTGCCAAGACTGAATCAATTAAACATCAGGATTTTTGACTGTCTGTACTAGGCCAATATGTTTAATTGTAGACTTGTGAGTTTAGCAGGTCAACTTGAACATTGACAATATTTTGGTGGAAAAACAAGAAGAAATAAACTAACAAGAAAGCAAATAGAGTGGGTCTGGTTTCCTCTCCACTACACGCACAACAACAACGTTGTGTGTAAACTCCACGTGCTTCAGCGGAGTTGTTCCTAATTTCCAGATGTGTGAATGAGAAGACAATCAGGCTTATGATGGTTGCAGGGTGCTCACTGGTGCCAGCCTGTCGAAGAGCCTCATAGTGTGGGGAGAGGGAATAGATTTCTTGTAGTCTCCAGGTGCTGTGCAGGCTTCTTGATAATAGGAATTTGTTGTTCCATTGCTTTGAAGAGTCAATAACCCCTATTTCCCCCCTGTCATTTAAGGCTATCGTGCAACTGAACTAACTTTCCAGACCCAAAGAACCTCTTGCCAGTGACTAGCAAGGGTGGGGCACTTAGCAAGCATCCCTGTGGATTGGACGAGTCACATGCAGCAACTAAACCCACAGGGATGCTTCCTAAATCAGTACAGATACATGTGATGTTAGAGGTAGCTGAGCTAGCTTGGGTCCCCGAAGCCGTCCAGCCATGGCAGCACAGGACTTGGCAGGCTGAATCAGCCCATGGGTTCTATGCTGGTGCAGCTAGATGTCTTCCAGCACCCAGTCTAGCTTGCTAAAGGGCAAATGCACAGTGTTCCTTCGTCCGTCTAGCGACACGGTGATGTGTAGAGAAGTCCAAGAGGCTGCTGCTGCTGAGCTAACAGAGCTGGTCCTTCAGCTCGGGCAGAAGCATCTCATTCAAGGGTCCTGGGTTTAGTTGCTGCATGTGACTTGTCCAATCCAAAGGGATTATTACATCCTTCCGGCAGAAATGTGAGAACAATTTAGGTAAGGCATTAATGTTATCAGGCCTGATGTGAGCAGGAGCTCTGTGAACACAAGACCCCAAATTGGATTAACAGAGAGGTCTCTTCTTGGCCTCCAGCAAACTCTTTTTGTTTGAGCTAAACCCTGGGGTTCTGATTCAGACATGACTCAGTCCTTGCTCAGACAAAACTCCCCGTGGGGCAAATGCTGACTTTTATTTACACTGAGGCAAACCTACCGACATCAGTAGGATGATTCCTTTTGGTGTACGTAAGAGCAGTGCGTGGCTCCGCGTGTTGTTTTCCTGCAGGCAGGCAAGTTTGGGTACCTTTTCTTTTTTAATGATTATTAGGGAAGAACTTTTTAATTTTCAGAGGTAAAAGAATGTAACCTTATACCTAGTCTATATAAAGAATCCACATGAGTCAGTCATGCTTAAGACATTTCCATCTTTTCCTGTCTCTCGCTCTTATTTGGTAACACACACATGGAACTAATTATGAACAAAGGCTGATTGTTTTAATATTTGGAGGTTCCCACATCAAGCTGCTGCTCTCTTTGACTGCCTCTTAATGCATGTGCACAAATACATTCTCCTCTTTTTTTTTTTTTTTCTTTCTTCTCTCCATTTTTTTAAAATGGTGTTTAAGCCCCTATTCCCAGCACCCGCTTTTAGACTTTGACCACAAAAATCTTTTTATTTATTTTTTTTCAGTTTAACCTGAGCCCTGGGGAGGGGGCCGGAGATTTGTCTGTGTGAAAAGCTCAGCAGAGTTCTGGCCCAAACCGTACTGCTCTCGGAGCAAGGACAGCACGCCTCCTTCTGCTTTCTTTTCGACCGTGTCAGTTCAGATCAATGGCATAGAGGTGACTGACTGAGTGACACTGTTAATTCTGAGCCTAAAATGGAGCAATACCTGTAGCAGAACATGGAAATGAACACGTGTTTTGAAAGCAATTTTGCTTTGGGATAGTTGCTCGCATTGCAGGAAATGGAAGGAACCTGGCAAGTTTCAAACTGTTTCTGCACTACTAAGCCAACGGAGACGGTTTTAACTCCCTCTCTCTTCTGGAAAAGGGAAGTCATTGTGTATTGCACAGTGTTGTTGGCTTATGAAGGGGAAATAGGAGTCTATATTGAAGCTGATCCCATGGAGCACAAGTATAACTGTAGTATAACAATGTGAGACTATATGAAAGTAGTAAAGCCTTTTTAAATGAGCATACAGACATGCAGGTTTCCATTGGTAGAGGAGCGTATAGATACAGTTTGTGCATATAGATATAGTTTGTGTGTGTGAATGTGCACTGTACCGCGTGGTCACTGTACTGTGTATAATAGACAGCCTTTCTAGTAAAACGTTTGTAGTAACTGAGCCGTCTAGAGAATCCTTTAAAGGCCAGTTGCTCTGTCTGCGCTCTCGTTCGTCTGAGAGAGAGTAATATCCAAATGCAGGGTTTAACATTAATCTCTGCACCAGATGGTGATACACCAGATATTCTTTTTAAGGTGAACATGTGATCTACTGCACAGCAAACCAGAGGGGTCTACTGTCATGTGACGAAATGTATAATAAGTCTGATAGAGCTTTGATTAGACAACTGACCTGGTTACCATCTGTAGCTAAAAGAAGCGAGGTTGACATTTTTAGAACATTCTCCCCAGAAGCTTCATTCGTCCACCTCTGGCACAGCAATCCTGCTGAGCAAACTATGCCGAGAGAAACAGAAGCAAGCTGGAGATCTGCTGCTTGAAGCATGTTGTTAAGGTTACAGGGTTGGGCTTTTTCTCTCTTGCAAACCACATCTTGACTCATAGGGTCTAGAGTAAAAACCCACTCAGCTACTCGGTATTTGGAAAATCTGGACGCGACTGTTCAGTTTTATTTACAAGGAAGCCTCTCTCCGCCGTGTACTAGCACGTACACACGTTCGCATTAGCTCCGCACTATGGTAGTACAGACAGCTGTGACTCCCAGTAGGACCCGAAGACTTTTGTTCAAAATACCATATGGATCACTGAGGAGGCGCAGTGTGGAAAGGGTAAGCTCTGATTTCTTTGTGTTGAGACTTTACCCCTTCAGTGAGCCCCTGCTGATACTGTTTACTATGTCATAATATGCAGAAATTGGTACTAGGGAGATGAGTATTATGATGTGTCCTAATTAGTACCAGTCAGGCTGCGTGAGTGTGGAAGGGAGCAATGGGTAGTAGTAAACTCGACATGGCAATATGTAATAATTTGTACTAGTCAGAGGCTCTATGATGATGCACAGTAGTAGTTGGTACTATTGGAATGATTCCTAGTAATTGATGCTAGTTGGGGCTCTACAATGATGTATGGTCCTAGTAATCAGTAATAGATGGGTCTGTATGATGTCTCATAATCAGTATTGGTTGGAGCTGCATGGTGATGTACTAGGAATCAATATAGGGAGAGCACACATGAAATGCATGGTAGTGAGCACTGCGAGCCGTGATATTTTGAGCTCTTGGTACATGTGAGGGTTATGCTGGGCTCACTAGTCAGCAGCGTGCTCTGTATGACAGTGCACTGTCATAACTGGTACTAGCTAGATCAAACAGCAAGTGTGAAATGGGACGGTGTTCATTACTTTCTTGTCATTCCCAGCATCCTGTTGGTGCTGGAGGTGAGGAGATGAGGTAATAGATCATGGAGAATAAATGTGTCACAGACAAATGCTGATTAAAAAAGTATCTCGACCACGGTTCTTAGAGCCTCTACAGAACTGCTCGCACCCGGGAAGTGAGGCTTCCCTATATGACAGCACTTGGCAACTTGACACGTAGCAGATCAAAAAGTTAAGATGCTGTATAGCACTCATGTCAGTGTTCGCCAATCTCCCCAGAGACCCTAACTAACTACCCATCTATGTATTTTTTTTAAATGCACTAGTGACATAATTATGTTGCGCCTTCAGGAAGCGAAGCTCTCACTGACTGCAGTGCTTTGACCTTAAGGGACAAGGTTCCCTTTAGCTTTGAGGACTGACAGAAATGACAAAACGGTTGTAGAAGAAGCAGGAATCCCATCTAGCTACTAACGTTGCACCCTGGGAGACCGAAGAGGACAAATGTGTGGCGACCTACTGAAAACAAAAGCTGTTTTTTTTTAAATTGTGGGTTTACCCCCTGCTGACCTATCCAAAACTCAGGCGGCTTCGGAGTTCCTATGGAAGTGCCACGTTAACCCAAGACTTGCCGTGGTGCGTGCAAACTGCACAGGAACTACCCTGCCTGTCACCTTTTCTAGTACTTAAATGTTGCTCAATTAAAGTGACAGAATGCATTTTGCTCACTCATGGCTCTTTGTAGTTTGGATATTGTGGATAAAGGACTAGAGAGAGTCAGTTCATCCACTGACTTCTCAGCTGTGGCACTTTTATAAGTCTGGTTTGTCTGTGTGATTGGGATGCAAAGAGCTCCCATAATTGTTCAGTGGCAAGCTGGGCAAAATAATTTGGCCAAATACTTAATTTGCTGGAAAACATCGTTTTGAATCAACTGAGGCCATTTAGAAATGTTTGTTTTCATTTTTAAATAGCTTCCACTGGAAAAACAATAGCTTTGAAAAAAATCAGTGTTTTGACACATTCAAAGTAACATACTTTAAGGTATGTTTGGAGAGCTTTGTCAGTCTTTTTATAAAGGGTTAAAAGGATTTTTGGTTTTTGGGGGGTTTTTTAAACCCCTCTAACTGAGCTTTTTGATTCCGTTGACTCCAATCCAAAATATTTGGGTTATTTTTGTCAACACTTCACACTTTTCTTTGCCCCCCTTCCTACCTTGCCCAATTGGCAAGTGAACCAAAAAAATCAATTATTCACGCAGCTGTCATTTGGAATTGTTTGGCTGTTTGTAACACATTCATAGATGTCACCACTGACACACTTTCCAGCTGGTAGAAGCTGAAGGACCCTCCATTCTCAGTGGGCCCACTTCCTTCACTCCAAATTGCAGTCGGCCCCTAACATGCCTTTGGGATCCCAACTCTGGGCAGGGTGGTTGTTGTTCAGTTTGTACAGCTCCTAGCAAATGTTATCGGTCCATGACTGGGGCTCCTTGGTGCTAGCCTAGGACCAATAGCAAAAACTTTAAAAAGCTCATATTGTAGAACCACAGCAGAGTATCCCTGGTATGCAGGTATAGACATCCCTACACTTGTGCTTCATTTCTACAAATGGATTGTGCTGCAACGCAGTATCTGTACAGATAGGACCCCTGTGGTTTTGTGGAGCCCTTTTCTCTGTGAGGTCATAGGAACCCACCCACACATTTTGTCTTGCAGGGTCTGAGGTCCAGCCACAGATTTCCAAGAGTAAATATAGTTCCTGAGATCTGTAACAAGGGTGAGACAAGCTGCAATAGGAGCTGAACTTTTACAGTTGCAGGAATGTGTCCAGTGTCTTCATAGTTGCTACTGCAAGATAATGTGAATGTTGCCTGGAGCAGGAGACTGACGTTCCCTAAAAATTCTGTTTCCCTTGAGTTAATAGTGAATTCCTCCCAGAATGGGAGACCGTTCATCTGATGCAAGGTCCAGCAGCAACTTCTGCAACCAGCCCTAGCGTAAAGGGCTAATCCAGAGTGCGTGGTGTGCTCCCTACCCTGGAGTGCACGATCCCTTTTTCGGGATCATACCCAGCTGGAACAGATCAGAGTAGCCCCTTGCCTCCTCTAACCAGCATCGACTGTCATAGCAGTGCAGAGCTGATGCTTGGAACAGCAACTCTTGCATTGGTGACTTGATGCATGTAGAGGTTTCTCAGCCTAACAGTTTCTCAATGGAAACTCCTAGTCAGCTGGGAGAATTGTCTGGCTCCTCTCTCCAGCAGTGGTCAGCGGCCAGGCTTCCTCCCACTCATTGCTCTTGCCATTCCTTCCATAATCGGTTGCAGCAGGGAATTTCGAGCAAGTAACCATCACTCGCTGCGCTGCCACGTGAGCTATAGCCTGAGGAGGGAGTTGTAGAGAGCCTGACTTCCCTTTGTGGAGAGTCTGATAGGCTAGCCTACGTTTTCCATACTGGAGAGGGCAGAGGGATCTAATACACACATCATTCAAGCATAGAATCCAGGCATCACTTGATTACTGATGCTTTGTGGCAGTGGTGGCTCTTGAAGGGAGTTTTAAGGCAGATCAGTCCCAGGACAACGCTCCATCACCAAGAGCAGCATAAAAGAAGGTGTGGGGGAGTCAAACAGGCAAGCAAGGCTGGTATTGCTCAGAACAAGAGGAGGTTGGAGATGGCATTATGAGAGACTGGAGCAGTCAAGAAAGGGGTGGAATTGCCAAGGACCTTGAAATTGAGGGCAAGAAGCTTAGCAATTGCTCATGATAACTGCAGTGAATTGTTACCTCCATACCGTACATTACAAGCGCGTATGCACGTGTAATATTGTATAGACGTAGAGATGAACACACACGGGGAGAGAATATACAGGCTCACACAATGGTAGGGAGTGGGAGATTCTGCACTACATTAATCATAACTGTCCACAAGTGAGACAGAGGGTCGTAACTCAAGCGCCGCACAGCCAGGCATGACTTGCACAAGGTTTTTCGTAGCTCACTCTTCACTCTTCTCGATAGCGACACTAATATGAATGTACGAGGCTGCATCAATGCTAACACCACATCTTATGTTGTCTGCTGGCTTGTAGGAACTCACTGAAACCACATCATATATTTCTATAAAGGAAGAGTGAAAGCCAGAAGTCCAGAAAGCAGGAGTGCAGAGTAAGGCTTTTTCATGGCTGTCTCTATTTTTCCAAGCTTAGGATCAACCTCAATTGTAGGTTGGTTGGTTGGTTTGTTGTTTGGTTTAAAAAAATAAAATCAAAAGGCTCCTCTCACTCGTTCCCACTTGGTAATTTAAGATTTGCTTGTCTTTTTTAATCTCAAGATGTCACCACACCTCCTTGAGCAGGCAGAATACATGTAAGATGAATGTTTCCAGAAAGAACCTGGTTGCGGCAATTTTTACCTTAGCTGTCTCCCTTTATCTTTCCACTACATCTCCCTTCATCATATTCCAGTAACACAGAAACCCCCAGCCAGAATGCTTGTTCCACTAAGTCTTGTACAAATATAGAGAGGGGAAATGTTTCCAGTTTCCGAGAGTTTGCACTCTGAATAGACTAGGTACATTAGGAGAGGAAAAAAGAGCTAGTAATCCTAACTTTTGACTAATGGGGAAATAGAGGGAAAGTGAACAAAAAAATTGAACCAGGGCCACACCAAGTCTGTGTCAGAACTGGGACTTGACCCAGACATCCCATGTCCTAATCCAGAGCCTGCACCACAAGGTCATCCTTTTCTGAGCCACTATTTCCTCTTCCTCACCCCCCTCCTTTGGCTTCCCTTCTGCATTTAGGGACACTCTCTCTCCCAGTACCTCCATGTATTACTAATTTAATTCACTTAATGATGGGTAGCAGTCTTCATTATGTCTGTGATGTGGATGCATGCAAGGGGATGATCTTTAGTATGCTGTTTAATGTCAAAACTGACAAATGCCTGTTGCAATTAATTCTCTGCTTCTGTTAGGGTAAGGACTCTGCTAAAAGCAGATGTTGACTCCTTCCTCAGCTATTTTCCTGACTTCAGGAATGCTGTGCAACAGACACAGGATGTTGATCCTTAAGGCAGAAAGCCAGCACACACTTACAACAAAGTCTGCCAGCACCTATTCCTTCAGAGCTTAAAGGTTGACATTATGGAGCCTGGGTAAAAAGGCATGTCAGTCTCGAGATTAAATGAAGTGTTTCATAGATGAAAAAAGGTTGATCCAACTGTGAGAGAGATGGTAAGAAAAGTGTTTTTTAAATTAGATGGGACAGCTTGTGCCTGTGCGTTTGGGTCTGCCTTAGTGGTACAATTCAGCATAGCTCCATGAGTTCATCAAAACCTGGCTGAAATGCCACTGGGGAGTAGATTTTCATACTAGATTGCCTATTACCAGAAGCTTTTTAATTTTATGCAGTCACTAAGAGGGATAAGCCAAGATTTGGAAACAGCTGGGCGCCAGACTAC